TTTCACAGACAAAATCTCCTGAATATATGTACTTTAAAATCACATTAAGCAGCATTTTACTTGTAGGATTACAAGACTTCACAATTCTCTTTAACTGTACATTACTTATTTATTCATCTCATCCTAATTGATATTTGTTATTTAAGATTTTAAATATTTAACAACAACATATAAATGAGTACCAGTCTTAATCAATGGGCAACTAGATTAATTATTAAATATTATTTAACTGCTTTATCATGAATTTAAAAATCAATTAATATAGATGCAATACCGATTTATAAAAAATAGTATCACCGATGCATAACAAAAAATACAGAGTATGTAAGCAAAGCACTAAGGTATCCAGTAACAACACAAACTACAAAGGCAGATCAATAAATCTACAGGTTAATGAAGAAAAAAATTTATTTTTCAACATTATTTCTTTCCTTACCAATGCACTTAATTCAGTAGTGAATATTCATCACCTAGGCTGAACATTATACAGCAAAAATTTCAGCACAAAATTAACTTAGATAACTGGATGTCAGGCAACAGACTTATCAATCTATCCATATGTTCTTGAAAATACTAGTCTGAGTAATTTATGAAACAATGAACATTAACTTCAGATTTATTTATAACAATTTATTCAAAATTCACTATTTTTTGTATAATTATTGGAACTGATTCATTTTTCTTTTCTTTTTCAATAAATAAATTATAAAATGGAAATGTTGATAGATGTATTAATTCTACAAATTCAAAAAGGAAAATACAATTATAAAAAAAAAAAAATAGTTGAAAATTATGGATTGGAGGTAATTATTGCTCAAGTATATTTAACATTTTTAGTGACACTTTAAAATCAGCAGTATTAAGTAATTTTCACAAAAAAAACACAACAGAACAAAATTAATTGGAATCAAAGAAACAAATCACACATACAAAAAATTGAGTGTACCATCAAAACTATAAAACATGAATGATCAATGTGAAAAAAATTATTAGCATTTGAACAATATGAAATGATTCACTGAGAAAATAATCCACTTCTTCATTTGTATTATCAGTCCATATAAAAAAAAAAAAAAACTACAAAGAAAGCAATGAAAATAATGGCATGGAAGGAGTATAAGTATTTTTTTTTTTTTTTTTTTCACAAGACAGCACTGATTTTGGACTTGACTATCCTATCTTTTATATCTTCTCTTTGGAATATTTGGATAGAGGCTGGCAAAGTAAAAAAGTCTCTTTCAAAAATGGATTTTAGTTTCAGCTTTCCAACAATAGCAATCCACTTGAAATGTCTGTAATATGTCATTTAGATTAAACTTCAGAATAAAATTCAAGGAGCTAAATTTATATTAGCACATATACTTTTCTAAGAGGATAAAGTTGATTGACAATTACACAGTATCATAAACAATTGAGAGCAATTCATGTTAAAAATCCTTAAACTTACATTTAATGCAAAAGATTTATAAATATCACTTTTGTTCACAATTCACAGAAATAAAAAAAAATCAGAACAGTTGAAACTTTATAACATCACTGATTTTTCAACATCCATCAGTGGTAAAATTTTATGCGGAACAGAAAATAAACATTACTAAGTTATTTTGCTATGCCTTCTAATAATTCCAGAAGTACCTTCAGGTTTTTATAGTCTCCACTGCTTACTGATCTTAATTTTTAATTAGGATTTTTTTTAAGGACTTCCAGAAAGAAAGATTTCTACACATATCTGACATCAGAAAATGTATAAATCTTGTAAAATCTATATTAGGGTTAAGGTTTGAAATAATAATAGGGGCATATTTTTTTAAAGTTTGGTTTAAAAACCAGAGCAATTACTTCAGTAGATCAATTATATTACAAGTTCTAAAAAAAGGTAATAAAATAATAAGCAATAAAATATTTCTTCCCCCAAATGCTCTTTCACTGAAATTTCATGATTTCTTCCAAAAGAAAAGCAATTACGTCATTCAAAAGTCATCGATTTCAGACACCGATTCTTTATGATAATGATTTATTATGATTAATTTTTCGGTCATTCTTCATGGCAAAACACCAAAACATGCTTCAGAAAATTTCCTATTAAATTCTGAAATTGTAAAAATTCTATTGGAATCATCCTAACAAAAGTGTGAGCAGAAATAGCAATGGATCTTACCGTACAATATCAGTATTTTGTTCAAACTCAAAACTTCGCATATTTTAAAAATGTACAAATTTCTGAGTGGAGATTAATTTCTCAAACCAAAATCTATACATTATCACTAAAAGTAATCAAGAGAAGGGAGATAACTTATAAATACAAATTCCGAATAGTTTCCCTTAGCCAAGTGTTTAAATATTTTTAAGTTTATATCTTTTCCCAATTTGATAAAGCTAACATTTATATCCATTTTCTTTTGCAGGATATTACCAAACAAAAACCATACCGAATTTTAAACAGATATTTGGAAAACCTAATGACCTCATATAAAGATATCTTGAAAAACTTTCTAGAAGGATTTATTATTACCCAAGAATGATTAATACATCAACTGAATTTGATTTTGTTCTCTTTAAAACAATTTATCAATATATCAACAGAAACAGAGCAGGTTTAACTACTTTTTTACTATTTTTTTTTCTAAAAACAATTTAGTGAAGTTTATATTGCAAACAGAAAATAAAATGATTTCTGAAAAAGGTATGACACCAAGTTTCTATCTATATTTCTGAGATGAGTATTGTATTATTTACATTGTTTAGACTTGTTCTCATCTATATTATGTTCACGATGTTTTGGCTGTTGTACGCTCTGGATTTCTTCAGGTGATTGGAATTTCAAACTAAACCCATCATTTCGTCTACTGAGGTAGATTGTTCTAGTTCCACGTGTCATGCCTCTCCCAGATAACTCTTCAAGTTTTTTTTTTTTTTTTTATTCGCCACTGCCATAGCCAGGTATTGAACCCACAACTCTTTGGGTCAAGTCACTGGATTCAACCAACGCTTTTATCCACTGGTCCATGTGTCAAGGACCCATACCCAGGGAATAAAAGAGAGTTGAGTTAAAAGGGAGATAACAGACACCTGGAAGAGGCATGGCACATGGAACTAGAACAACCTACCCTGGTGCATGAAATAAAAGGTTCAGTTCAAAATTCTAATCACCTGAAAAAAGCCAGAGTGTACAATGACCAAAACATCCTGAATATGACAATAAAGATAAGGACAACAGTCCAAACAATGTAAATAATGTAAATTGCACCAAAGTTTGCTGTTCATTTTAGTCATTTTGGTGATGCAAAGATATAATGCAATTATTGGTTGGTCATAGTTTTTTTTTAAAAAGAAAAAAAGAGCATTTTGAGAAGATAAAATGTTATAACTGTGTAAAAGAATTTTACTGAAATTTATACCTCTTTATTACTATTATATAGTAACATCAATCTCTTTTTAAAAAAAAAAAAAGAAAGAAAAAAGAAGACTGTTCTAGCTTTTCCTGTCACGTTATACAACTATATTAACAGCTCACTCAGCTTATATCACAATAAACCTTTCACAATTTCTGTTTTTTTTCCATTAAGCTTTGAGAAATATTTACCATCTTTACAAATTATAAATTTAAGCAATCTCTATTTGCTAGTCTTACTTTTTTATGCAGCAAAGCAAATTTTTCACTTCAAATAGGTTTTTTCCTTTGAATAACAAATTTAAAATTTCTTTATTACAATGCTACACTGTAATGCTGGGCAGGCAAAAGGTAGAAGTATTTTGACAGGTTTTAAGATTGCAGAAATTAGCAAAATGTGTTTAGGTCCTAAACAGCTTTAGAGTATAAACCCCTATAGAAAAGAGTAATTTTCTTTTTTTCTAGTTTGTTACTACCCAAAGTTAACAAGTTTCTGGTAATATTATCTAAAACTTGTATTCCCAAAATGTATATGTGAAGAGTTTACTGACAATGTTTAGTGTCAGCAGAACTAATAGTACATCTTTAAACCAACAAAATATTAAAAGTGATACTTTATATAAATATCCTCAATGAAAGTCAGAACCTTGATTTTTCCTTAATGAAATATTCAAAGACAATAACCTGACATTATTATAAAAAAGAAAGGATATTACACTTGGAAATAATAGTTTATGTTGATTATATTAAACAAATTGAGAACTATATTATAACCCTGCCTCATCAATAAAGATCTTCATAAATTCATTTCTTTTCAGGGACACTGGAATTTTCATATATTAATAATTTTTGAATATCAATAAATAAAATAACTGTACTGTATTAAACAGTACAACTAAGTTAAAATAGCTTACGAGAGACATTGGACTTTTAATAATGGCTTAATATTTTTATGGTGCACTTAGGCAAGAAAAATCAATAAGTCCACAGCTTAATGATGAAAAAAAAAAAAAAAAAAGCATATTTTATGCAACAAATATTTTTCAACATAATCTCCTTTGTCAATGCGCTTAATTCAGTAATGAATATTAATCCCATAAATTAAACAGTATAGAGTAAAATATCAGTTCATAATTTAACTAATAATAATAATGGATTAAGGACTTATTGATTCACTCTCTTAGAGTGTGTGTATGTGTGTATATATATATATATATATATATATATATATATATATATATATGTGTGTGTGTGTGTGAATGAATGTCATTGTTTAAATTTGGTATATTTATGAGGAAGATCGCTCAGTATAATAAAAAGCATTTATATACACACACCCAATGTGGACATGGGAATCAACATTGCATGATGACTGTCAGTTTCAAGTCTTCAAACCAGCTTGATTTGAATATTGCCTTGAGGCGTGAATCTGAGTCACCATGCAATATTGATTCCTATGCCAACATTCTGTGCATGTACAATCTGTTACACTTAATAATACTTTAAGATATTACACTGGCTAAAAAAATTTTTGGGATAACAGAAATAATTTATATGTTAAATATATAAATCTATCAAATTGAATACTGAAAAGTGAAACTCATTTGACTCAATTCAAACATCGATATGAAGCTTTGCAGCTCATCTTAATTTTCCTGCGACAAAAGAGAAGACAAAATATGAGGCCTACTACAAAGACATCAACAAATATCATAGACGTAGCCAGGTACACAACATTGTTCTCATCAAATATCTTCCAGCGGGAACCTATCTTTGCTGAGTCTGCCTGCATCTGGTTTCGCACAAATGATTTTCGTTGATGGTCAAGTACAAGCCTCCACAAGTGACGAATCATGACTGCTTCCTGATCTGGAAAGGAATAATCTAGAACACCAATCATTGCAGCACTACCAAGATAATCTGGATCCATAAATTCTTTTAGAAGTCTTGGACGCTGACTGATCCCCACAAAAGCATAATAAGTGTCCACAAATTTAAGTCCCAGCTTCTCAGACAAAACTCCTATCCAAGCATCATCGGGCATGAACGAAGGTGTATCTAATGACATCAGGTACAATTTGTTGATGACTCTCATTGATGCTGCATATGCAGTCCCTGAACAGTATTCCGGAAATGCAGTACTTGTGTACTCTTTTGAAACACTGTATTTACCCTGATGAAAAGCCTGAGTACAGCACTGATAATCATAGCAAAGGCTGAAGTGGTCGTTGTACTCAGATTTCAAAGATGATTGACGCAAGTAAGAAATCAGTTTGAAAATATCCACAAACACCTCATCATTCATGATCATCACAAAAGTGGCATGCGGACAATAGAATCTGGCCCATTTCCATGCCATTACAGTCTTCAAGGTTAGATTACTATAAGACTCAATAAAGTCTTCTTGTATAAGATCTCCATAAATTTCACTTTCCCGTTGTATGGAGGCCTGCAGATGTGTGTCCTGGTCCCGCCCAAAGAGAAAAGCAACTACCACACTGTCATCACGGAAGTTTTGTTTATTGCCCCATGTTTCACGTATTGCCATCCTTCGATCAAACTGAGAGAATATTGTGCGTACTAACACTAGAAGAAACACTTCCTTCTTGCGCAGACACAATGATGTGGGGTTGATGAGCAGTGGGTATGGATGGGGATTTGAGTTTTTGGGAGCCAGATAATATTTAGAGGGTACAGGAGACTTTCGGCTCCAAGGACGGGAAGTGACAGATGTGTCCAAAGGTTCTAACACAATGTCTTCTGTTGGCTTTGGATTGTCTGCAGAGTCTGGACCTGTTAATAAAATAAAAATGAATATAATCTATCTTCATTATATTACATGAAAAATAAAATGTTAACCTGATCATAAATCAAGAACTGGTTTATTATGAAAGAAAAACAATATAAAATAATAGCCAAAAAGAAGTTATTGTTTTTGCAGAATTTATATTTTGTATGCAACTGTTAAAAATTTAAGGTTGTTATAGTTGCTTTGTCATTATTTTTATAGTAAATTACATAGAAACTTTCTTTCCAGTACAAATTACTGTCAGGTTATTTTATGACAGCTGAAAGACATTGGACAATTTATATTTAAACTTTCACCAGAAATCAAGCAAAGGGTTTGAAATATAGAAAAAGAATAAACAAAAAAAAAAAAATCTTAACACAAAAAAACCTTTTTGATCTTTTAAACAAACTTGCATAATGAAGTGGGCATACTGATTAAATATTAATATAAGACTTGAATCTTCATTACATAACATTTTATTCATTTCAATACTTTGTTAGTTACTCTCAGCCAGTCTGTGGTATGCAGTCCACCTCTATTGGCAGTATGTGAAAGACTACCTATTCATCTCTGGGGCACTTGTTTATATTTACCTGTCCAACATTCTCATTCCCATGCTTGCAATGCTGTATGCTAGTGTCGGTTCACATACTTTTGCATTTGGTGGCAAAGAGTAATCCAAAGTCAACCCTACACCTGGCTTCCTTTGACAGTCTGGTGTAAAACTTGGGTGCAATGTCTATTCTTGCATAATGACACACTTGTAAAAATAAAAAAAATAAAAAAATAGCTGCTTAAAAATAAACCCAATTCAAGCGTATCCTGTATACAATCCTCTTTGACGCAAGAAAAATTCTTAGGTTTGGGTTTGTTTTTTTTTCAATCTCACAGAAATTTTTTTTATCATTTTCTGAAGTGTTAAAATACAAGTATTGTTACCAAAAATTTTAAAAAGGTGTATTTCAACAATATGAATACGATGTACAATTAAATGTAGTACTATTGAAATAATTACCTTGGTGCAATAAATGGAAAAGATGCATAATCCATTAGATGGATCCTGGCACAATTTTTTTTTTTTTTTTGGCTTTTAAATCATTTCATCCCAAGCAAGGCAATGTGAAAGAAAATGAGAAGGCTTTAATTTGTTCAAGGTGTTGTTTGTAGTGAAGCACTTTAAAACCTAACAGAGATTTTGCTTAAAGTATCTATTACAGCATCAGGGCTACATACAGTTTTGAATTCAGTGTTGTCCTTGTAGACTGAGTATCAGCCATGACTAGATAACTTAGTCTGCCCTGCTTATTAACCCATAGCTAGGAAGAGAAGAGATGGATTCATACCTTTCCCAAGAAGAGTATTTTGGTATATAATTGAATGTAACAAATTCAACTTGAATTTGAATTTGAACTTGGCTCTCATTTTGAACCACTATTACACCACCCACACATACTCCTACAAGCCCTATATACAAGTGTATACACAAATTACAAAAAAAAAATATGCATTGAGTTAGTTAACCAGAAAAAGTATTAAAATGTTGTTTTTTTTTAAATAATTACAAGTTATATGATTGTTTTTAAATACTGGGAATACTGTTTCAATACCTACTTGACAGATAGCAGACAACAACTGAAGCCAAAAAAATTGGAATATTTTTTTCAGAATCCATAACTTAAGCAATCGCTCGGTTAAAATAAAGTAACTAATTTTTGGAGAAAATTAATTAAATGGCAATATGGTATCTTTATATTTGGAAGAATTTTATTTTTAATTAAAAAAGTTTTGAGTTTTTTTGTCAAAATACTTTTTTTTTAGTTTATGGCATAATTGAAATTAATTTTGAAACGCAAAAAATAATCCAAAACCTTTTTATTTATCTTAGACTAACTTTTTTTATGCTATTATTATTACAATTTAAAACTTCAAATTATTAAATAATAGCAACACATTTTAACATTTTTATTTAAAATGTTTGTGTTAACTGCTAGAATTTGTAACTTTTTGCTAACTACCTGGTGGATTATTTATTTAATAATCATTTATTTATTATTTACGTTACCTATTGGTTCGTTACATTTTTAATACAACTCTTACAACATTGGTAGAATAGTTTTTTATGTGGATATTTTGCAAAATTGAAAATTTTTTAAGGTACATCCTAAACTTTTATGAGCGAAAAACATAACGTGACGTTTTCTGTTACAAAAAACATTATCAATTTCTTGCTCACTCACACAACGTCCGAGTGTTTTTTTATTTAAGATGTGAAATTCTGAGTTGATTTTTAAACTTTAAGTCATGATGAACAAAGGTTGCAATCATAAAACGTTAATATAAATTTTAATTTTGGGTAAAAATAAAAGTGACATGAAGTCGGAGGGTTTTGTTTTTTTTTTTTCTTACCTCCAAAAACGAATTTTAAGTTAGGTTTAAAAATACACAAAAATACTAACCTGGACGAGGTTCCAACATTCTGGCTTGCGTAATTGTAAAGAAAAATAGTAACAACGATGAAAATAAAAATGAGTCCCGTGAAATAAGAAGGCTCGAACTCATGTTTTTGATTTTTATCTTTTCCAACATCCGCCTTTTTTTTCGAATAAAATTATCACAGCATTATGCAAAAGAAAAAAAACAACGACGTGCTCACGTTTGTTATTACAGTACTACAGAACAGAACATGCATATGAAACATGTGCACTAAGAAAAGGCGGAGGAGGAAAACGCCTTTTAATCCATTATTGCATTCATAATTACTTGCACGGACGGACCCCCCCAAAAAAAGAAAAAAAAAATTATACCCGAAACAGACGGCGCATTAGAATAGTTTTCCGTCTTAAATTTACACCGAACGGTGTTTCATTAAATAGTAACTTTATGGAATAAGTTAACGGATATCAGATAACTCAGGTAAAAACCTTGTTAATAGAGACTTACTTTTTTTTTTTTTTTTTTTCGTGCGAAGAGATTCCAGTTTTTAGCTTTGAGTTTGAAATAAAGTTTTATTAATTTTTTTCAAAAAAAAAAAATGGGCCATTTCTTTTACGAACAATGAGTGAATGACTTTTTTTATTTTCTTAGTTTCTTTCTGGTTTTAAGGAAGCTTTGTCTCTCTCATATTGTAATTAGCTCGGAACGAGAACTTGACTTGCCGAATTCGAACTACGTTCGAGTGATTTACATTCACTTTCAGACAAAAATACCCTTGAGAAAGGTATGAATCCAACTCATCTATCCCCAACCCAACCATTTAATTAATTCATATTAATTAAATGGCACGGCAATCAGTCTAGAACAACAGCAAAAAGCTTATGTAACCCGGGCGAAGCACTTACTGTGTAGCCATGGAAAAGATTATGGAGTAAAAATGGTCTCGACTGCGGTCGATATGACAATTGAGGCTTGGAAATTACGCCTTAAAACTTTAAACAATTTTTAACAACTGTCTTATTTTTCTAACTTTCCTTTTTGGTCAGAGATATTATAGTGAAAATAATAAAAAAGAAGAGAAAATCATATTAATTTGCCTAATCTCGCGTTTCTATCGTTACGGTTAAAATTTGTTGAAGATAGAAAAAAGGCGAGTTTCATTTACTTTCCTCGTGCTTAGTCTCGAAGCTAATATTTTTTTTTGTTGTAAATTTCGCACGTCACCCCACTTTTTTTTTATCCATATTTCATGGAAATTAAAAGTTGGCGAATAAGGAGAGGATATTTGGGATTCTTCTGGTCAAGGATTTTTTTGTTTGGTGATTGCTATCCATTTACATACATTCTTAAACAAATCTAATTCTGCAAACAACTGTTAAAAATGAATAACAGCTTTCATTTCAATTCTTTTCTTAAGAACTTTAAATCATTGTAACGAGTGTGGAGTGACTGGAATTACAGGGTAAGTAATAAAAAATACAGTCCATTGAGCAAGGTTATTGGTTTCAACAGAATTACAAAAAAGTGTGCGGAAACAGGTTTTCAGTATCAAGCAAAGTTGGTTAACTTACTAAAATCTTTCAAAATGAAAACTAAGTAATGATCTTCCTTGATTTTTTTAGGTATACGAATTACTGTAGTCTGCAAGTTAGGCATCGTGGGTGAAGGGAAAAAGTTGTGATCTTGAGCTTCTTTCTCAAAATCACAAAAAAAAGAAACAAAATAGTAGATGGTCCTACTTAAGTTTTTTTCCCCATTTTTGAAATATACTATATTTGTTAGACACTTCCAAATATTTTTCTGTTTCGCACGTTAAAGAGATCTCCAAACTTGTATTGACTTTAATAATGTTCATATAGGCATAATCAATTAGTTGGGGAAATACTTTTTGTGATCAGAGCCGTCTTAAGGCATGGGCCTGTAGGGAATTGAACAGCCTAAATTCAATCTCTCTCTACTATTTATACTTTCAACAAATGTACTAAGAAACAATAAACAACAAGAGAAATAACAAATTCGACAAATTAATGCAATAACACAAATAGGTTTTTCTTTTATCAGTGACAATAGTGATACAAGTTGTGTTGAAGTGTTGTATTGAAATTATTATTGTATTGTGACAGAGAGAGTCTGGGAAACACACACACACACGTATTTTTTTTTAGTGAAATTGGAGTAGATTTGGACTAGCGAAATTGATCAGAGTATTTCGTTTACTGATGGGAAATCTGATCTAGGGCAGGAGCTGTACCCATTGGAAATGGGTCATTAGCAGACAATGGAAATGGTCGAAATAATTTTTATTGATTAAAACTTAAAATAGAGATGAGTAAGCAAGGAGGACCTTTAGAATTCACATGATTTTGGTTGAAACCGCCAAAACCCCGTGATAATCACGTGCGAAGTAGTAGGGCCAAGGTTCAATTGTAATCAGCCGGATTTTTCTATATAAACGCGTAGTTATGCTGAAGAAGAAGCAGACGGATGAGAGAGACAGAAGAGAATTAGCCCGGGAAAGAGTTGGGCTAGAGACAGTGGAGAGTCGAGTTGGAGACTCAAGAAAGAGAGAAAGTGTCGTCAGAGATTGGAACGAAGCGTCCGCTAACATGTAGAGTTGATATAAGTACCGCTGCTTCTGCTACCATGAATATTACTACAACTATTACTACTGCTAAGGAGGAACGCCACTATAAACTTTAAACCGTGCACATAAATCTTATTTCCCCATCGCAAGAGTCGTATATCGTTCTGAGACGATTTAACAAGTTAATCATAACACTCTCTCTCTCCTCTCTCTCTCTCTCTCTCTCTCTCTCTCTCTCTCTCTCTGTCCAGAATCCAGTGTATGCGTTTTTACGTCAATTACTTTTCTTTTCTGTAACCCATTTTCTTTTCTATACTATTCTTTTCTGCTATATAAAAGACATTAACAATTCAATCACTGAATAGTTGTTTGTCCGGCTTTCTGCAGATATTAATTATTATTTTTTATTTTTATTTTTTTTTTTGCTGCATTCTAATTTTTTTAGCACAGACTCTCCAGCCGTGTCTATATCTTCAGTCGACCGTGAATGGATCAACATCACTTCTGCTTTCCGGATCAAACCAAACACAACGTGGGCAAGAAGCAGGATTTAACCAGTGGACCGGTCGAATAATCTACGGATGCGCAGGGGACCTATGGCCACTCCCTTAAGTTCGGTTAGGACCAAGTAGACACCTCAATCCAGAGAGTAAGACGTCGGATGTTGAGGGGCTGTGGCGAAAGTGTTAGAGTATTTAGATTGTGTACAACTGATATGTTGTTATGTAGAAGTTTTAATTTAGTTCAACGTCCTTTCCTAGTTTGCTTGAGATAATTATGAAAGTTTTGTGGAAAGAATGTGTGTTGAATAAATTGTTGGATGAAAATTGTATAAGTTTAATGAATATTAAGCTGTGAATGTTAAAATTAAACAATTTCTTGAGAGCTGAATTTTAAGCGTAAATTAGTTTTCAATTGACAGTTCATTCAGAAATTGTCTCTCTCTATTGAAATGTTGAGTTCCATTATCAAGTGTTTGATTGTAGTAAAGTTTCAATGAACTCAATGGCGAGAATGAATTATGATCGCTGCATGAGTTGGTGAGTTAGTGTTTTCCTCCGCGGGTTGATTTTCTCACTGGTGAAGTTGAGTAATAATTAATTCACTTGCAGGAATTAATGAAAAGTGCTGTGTGAACGAACTGAATGAGTGAATTTTCTGGAAGCTGAGATTATGTTAATGGGTAACTTTTAGCCTCAGAATGTATGACGTAGATTTTAGTAGGCGGTTACGTGGCTGGTTACTTTCTCATTAGTGAAATGCGCCGGTGTATCATATTTATTTACTTGTTAGTCACGCGATAGGCTCGAGAACACGTTTTCATATTTTCGGCGGTTTTCTAGTTTGAACAGGTTGTGCGTAGGCAGAAACATGACCTTGGTATTAATGGGCCAATTAATATGTCAGTTGCTAGAACTTGGTTTGGAGCCTCTATGTGTTTAGGTTGCACAATATTTTAGAACTTTGCACATGAAGATATACAAAATACAATTTTAATATTTATTGTCCAATCAGGATGTTTTTAAATAGCAGCATTGTGCAAATTAGGTGTGATCCACTGAAATGTAGGAGTCAGATTCTACAGGCCCGATGGGGGCTCCACGGGCATAAGGGCTCCATACCAATCTGTGTATGTCAAGTGACTTGTGTTATGGAAGCCCTTTTTTAGGAAATACTAAAAATATAAATTACTGCGACAAGCCACACTTATTGCGATTGGTGAAAATATATGTCATAACAGAAAGCTCCATTTCATTTGAGTTAGTATTTGAGTCGAATAAAAAAGAAAGTGGCGGAATGTCCCCCTTTGACCTAGAAGACACCAGAAATGGCAGGGACCTTCTTCAAAGAGGCCACCCACCTATATAAATGGAAGAGCTGGTTTGTCTCACCAGTACAGTTCACTTCCAGACAATTTCGCTATCACGGAAAAGATCAAAGAACTTACCCTGACTCCCGACGACCAGTATTCTTCGCGCAGACTCATCGGTAAAACTCTCATTTCTATCTTTTAACATTTGTGACAAAGACAACTGTTGATTTTCTGTTGGAGACAATATCTTTTATTTTTTCTCTGGTTTGATTTAATTCTTAAATTTCCCCTGGACTGAATCAGTATTGTTTTGAATGTTTAATATATTTATAGTTTTACTTTTGTAAAAATAAATTATTTTTGTTATAAAACTCTAGCGTTGATAGTATTTCTATAGTCTCCTTTTCACCTTCTCTCTCTTTTTCTTTTTGTCTCAACCGTGACAAAACGGGAGCTTTGATGTTTATTTAGAAACAAAGCAAATCAGCTGTCTTAACTAAAAGAAATAATTTTCTTATTCGATGTTCATTTCACAACAACAAAGAAAGTAATTCATATTTCTCTTCAGATATCTTTTGATAAAATTGACTTTGTGTTTGTTTCAAAATGTCGTTTTCTGTTGAAGAATTTCTTTTTTCATCCAAATTGGATGAAGAATTTCACTTATTAAAAAAAATCCGAGTTATTGCAACCAGCTACATATTTTGATTTAAAGTTTAAACATTAATG